ACAACTTGAACTGATTCGTTGAATTCCTTTTCCATGAGATCCTTCAATGATGCTACAAGAAATTCATTTCTCCAAACGAAACCTGGTTGCATGGCATATCCCAAAAAGACACCTGGGTTTGAAGTTGGATCAAAACGCAAGTCTTTCTTTGGTTTCAGTTTTGGTCCAGTCCAATAGTCGATGCGAGCCCCAAAAGGAATGTTGGGTCCCTTAAACTTTTCCCCAAAACGCAGCTCCCAAGGAGACAAGATTTCAGGGTGGTCCTGGATGTTGTGTGCCATACACCAATGTCGTGCAGCATAACTCCAATAAGAATGATGAAGCCCTGCCTGTTCAAGGTTTACTCTAGTCCCTTCGAGTACGGACCTGAGATTCCTCTCGGCGACTGCGTTCGACTTTGAGACATAAGCAACACTAGTGTTCTGTCTCCACCCAACTTCCCGACAAGCGAGCTCGATGGATGGTGCTGCATCGGAATAAAACACTCCGACTTCTTCACCAGGTGCGATGAAATGCCTAAAAGCTAAAACACAATCTTTGGCATGACTTCTAGCTGAAGGATAAATCCAACGAAAATTCGTAGCGACATCTTTCATGACCATAGCAACCCTGTCACCGTCAATTGATTGTTCGTTGGCATCCCTAGTCACAAGGTGATCCCCAGTGATGTGATCCCCAAACTTGTTGGATTCCACAGTCAAAGATTCCCCTTTACTACGTTTGGTTGGTTTGTACATCTTCGCACATTTGCATGTTTCGCAAAAGGGGTTCTTTGGGGTGTGTGTCATCATGTGCCTAAGGGTCCTGGCCTCTTCTCGAAGTGCAGCTTCACCACGATCGATCGCCTTCGGTTCAGGCAACTGAAGTCGACCGTCAACTGGTTCTTCAGGAGCTTCGGCTTCATCTTCCGAACCTTCAATGACGTCGGGCGTCATTGCTGCTGGAGGTCCTGGTGCAAGTTCACCAGGAAAGAATTCCTCGAGATTGTCGATGGCTTGTCCGGGAATTTCATCGTCATCGGCGATGGAAGCCTCGTAAGGTTCTTCGACCTCCTCGACTTCATCGTCGGACTCTGCACCGACGGCTGACATGCGAGACCTTCGAACAGGTGAGATGATGGGCTTGCCGTTCCCGGCTGCGGAGTTCCATGAAAAAGGAATTCCTACTGCAGCGGGTACCTGGCCATCTCTGGATGGTAAATAAGGAACGAAATCCTTAACTTCAAGTTTGATCTTTGTTCCGTCTTTCTTCTTGAAATATGGGCGACTAAAGCTTTTCCAAACAAAATCCCATCCATCTTGAATACATCTCATCCCTACCGATATTACAGCCGGGGTGTCGGGAAGAACATATGGATGAACTTCTTTGTCGATGCAATCAATATGAACAGAAGCTTGTTGGTCAGCTGGGAACCATTTGCAGTGATTAATTCAAGGGGTTCATGAGAGTGATACACAATGTCATCGGGAATCATCTTGCTGCAAACTAAGTCCTGTGCACTACCAGTGTCGGCGATCCATGCAATCTCGGCGGATGCATTACGCTGCTGAGACATTGCATTCAGATCGGAACGGATGCAGTGGCGACAGCCGATATCACTGTCACATTCAAAGCTGCATTTGCAAAGCTTACCATGCAACTCCCGAAAGACAGCTGATTGCAACATCTGTGCTGCAAGTATTGCATCACTTTCTCTTGCTTCGATCGTATCTTTTCGAGTACGATCGTCCTTGGTGATGCGAACTGGATTGAAAGTTCGTTGTTTGGCTTGGCACGGGTGCAAATTACAATTTTGCTCAATGGGAACTTCGAAGATTTCATCGTTGCCCCCAAATGAAACAGTGCGATTGGGTGTAACTGGCATGGCAAAATGCTGGTTGAAATATGGCGGAGAGGCGATGCCTTCCGGCACGCGATGAGTACTGGTCGAAGGGTTGACGACTGCGACCATCATCAGAGCGCGCATCAGGCAAACTGCAGCTGAGCCAGAGGAAGATGGTTTTCCCCCTTTGTCTTTGAGACTCTGTGAGCCCCTCGAGGAATTGGAACCTCGACTTGACGATCTGGAGCGATCGCCCTTCTTCTTGTTCTTCTTCTTCTTTTTCTGGCTCTTTCCACGCTTGTCATCTTTTGTAGATGCAGCTGCAGGCTTTGGTGGGTGTTGGAAAGCACAGTCATTACCTCGCTGACACTTACCTGCCTTCCAAAACTTACAAACTTGATTCCGAGATCCTGGAGACAAAGACCGACTAATGCCTCTTGACTTGGATCTGGACTTGCCTTTCTTACCTCCGCCTTTTCCTTTGTCTGACTTTTCATGTTTATATCGGCAATCCTTTCCCCTGGTACACTTGCCAGCCTGGAAGTCATAGCAAATGCCAGTGGGCTTTCCCGCAGATGGCGGTCTTGTGGGTGCTGGCGTAGCGTCTCTTTTGCCTGAAACGGACTTCTTGGTGGCCTGCCGCATCTTCTCAAGACGTCTTCTCTCAAGGTAATCCCTTGCAGCTTTCATGGGAAAATCATAAGAGCGGTTGGGTTCCCCCTCCGGTGTGCGATCATACACAGCCAGATCATGAGAGAGAGGCTTGAAATTCTTGATGGCATTGTGAAAGTATGCTTGCTTCCACATCATGTCAGGCTCGGAAGTCATTCCGGCGATCACAGCGTCCCATCGGGTGATGAAACCTCTGAGATCATCATTGACCAAGGTAACAGCCATGAGGTCCTCAATGTCGTACACTGCACCATGCTTTCTACTTGTGCTGAAATGCTTGTGAATCATGAGCAATGCTTGACGTCCTCTAGCTGGTGTCCCTGACTTGGCTTGTTCTTCCTTAAAGATGTCAAGTTGCCGTGCAAAGTCCCCTTCGCAGATGTTGGTGAGCGAAGACATGAGCTTTGCGTCGAGGGTCACGAATTTACCTGAGTCCTTCAAAGCTTCCACAGACTGATCTGTCCTGAAAACTTCTTCAACCCACTGAAAAGCTAGGTCGGGTTTGGCAGAAGCCGCAATTATGGCATCCCTTACTCGGATTCTCCAATTCCTATAATTTTCGGGTTGAGGGAACTTAGGAACTAGGATCCTATCAGACTCTTTGGCCTTATGATCAGTAGTCCTAGAACGCTCTAAGGCCCTCTTGACCTTTCGTGCAAAGGAACTCTCAGAATCCGAACTGGACGTGGTAGGGGATGAAGATGAAGAAGGTGACGGTGAAGGGTCTCTACGATGTCGTCGTCTTGATCTGCCACGACTGGTCTTGCGATCTTTCTTCTTGTCCTTCTTGTTCTTGTGACTTCTTTTGTCATTGAAGTCATCGTCCTCGTCATCATCTCCTGGAGGTCCACCACCAGGAAGTCCTGGTGGCTTCGAAGGTTCTGCCAAGAAATGCTCATCATCTGCATCAGATGAATGCTGAAGCTTCTTGCTTCCCGAAGCTAACTCCTCAATGATAGGACTTGTGGGTTTCGAGGCTTGTGGAACGGGTTTTCCGGGTCCATAATGAATCATGAGTCCAGGAGTTCCCTCCATAGGTTGAGACTTTAGGTTCCGAATGAGCTCTTTCTGCTCCTTTCGAAGCTTCTCAATCTCCGCCTCGAAGTCCTTCTTTTGAGACTCGGCCAGCTTCTGCATGTTCAAAGCATGTTGATTCATTGCATCAATTTGAGTGCGATACTCAGCAAGTTCCGAACGGGCCGCCTGCAGATCAGCGTTGGACTTCTCCGCGGACGATGTCAAGATACCTGCACTGTTGACTACATGGGTCAGTTCGGCACTCAGTTCCCTGATGCGATGATCCTGCGCAGTGACTTGCAGTTGAGCAGATTTCTGCTCGCTCATCGCCTGGGCGGCTTGCTCGTTCAACAAAAGGTTCTTCCTGGAAATCTCGTCGGCTGCCTGTTGTTCAATGCTTGCAAGTTGATCTCGAGCTTCACAGCTTCACTCACAAGCGCATTCCTTTGACGTTCCATGACCTCAGAGTGAAGTGCGTTGGCTTCGCTCTGCAATGCCTGCTGTTGAGCAGCCATCAGTTGACTTGCCATGTTTGGATCAACACCTTGCTGTACCACTGCCACTTGGGCGGTACGATTGTCCACTTGATTGAAGTTGATGGTGTTGAGCTGACTTATGTCCATACTAGCGTCCAAAACACCTGGCATGTCCCTGCGTGGATCAGAACGGCATGGGTCAAATTCCTCATCCAAGTAACTCATATCGCCTTCTGTTGTCGCCGCACCTGAATGGATTACCACTTCCTCCGGTTGTGTAGGGTTCGCTAAGGCTAAAGCAGCCGAGGCGTTCCCGCCCGGGGCAGGAAGCGCGGGGGTTGAAGCCATTGCGAAAACTACGGAGAAAGAATGAAAAAGTGAGACAAAGGAAACCAGTCGATCACCTTTGGCGATACGGCTGATAACCTGTAGAGACAGGGTACAAACCACAACGTACCACAAACGACAGCTACACCCTGCGCAGCATTTCTTGAGCCACGCACACGACGTAATATGGGTGAAATGGTATATACATGTGTTACTACTGTGCAACAACACTATCCTATCTATCCTATCCATCCATCCATCCATCCATCCATCCACCTACCTACCTACCTATCTATCGATCTATCGATCTATCTACCTACCTAGCTATCTATCTATCCATCTATCTATCTATCTATCTATCTTAGGTGCTTCAAACATGGTCACCACGCCCATGATGGGATCCTACAGCTCTGAACCGCTCCCTCCGGGGATCCTCACCATTGGCGCGGGCATGAACTGGTGGACTATTCCATACTGCCTCTTTGATATATCATGATTTACGTAATTTGTGTATAATTATAATATTATATGGTATGAGGTATATATATATATATATTTATATACATATATGTGTGTGTATGTGCTGTGTGTGTGTAGCTATACGTGATGTATACGTTTCTATAATTTGCTAGAGTTCTTCAAAAAAGTCATCCATCTCCCAGCCTCAGTCCTTCAAACCGCGGCGCTTGTACAAGCGATAGGCTTCCCCGAAGAGATCCTGTCGGAAGCCGGGGAACGGCCTGGTGCCGGTGCCGTTGCTGCTCTCGGCCTCCGAGGCATCGCGAAAAAGGTCGCGAAAAAGCTGCCAATCGGAATGCCAGGGCCCAGTGCAATCCATAAAATCCTCAGGGGCTGGATTTGGGCCTTTTCAAGATGTGTTTTTTTATGTGATTATTATGGAAATGTACGAACCGATGTTTAAAAATCGTTTAAACACAATATTGGTGATGGTAGACTTGGATGTGCCGGAGCGAGTTGGTAAGTGGTTAGTAGCCTTTTTGAACTGCATTTTATCGCGGTTTATCACGGTCTATCCCCCAACAAAACGCTGACCAACTGGGATCCCAAGTAGGATATCATCGAATGATAGTAGGGATATCATGAGATGATAGAAATATCAAGCAAAATGGTTAGATTGGAATTAAGCCGTTGGTGATCGCTCCACCCGGTTGATGCTTTTCCATGATTAGCTTTTTGAGGAAGAACTGCAGGAAATTGCCACGTGTTTTCCATGGTAAGGAGCAACGGTTTTTCCATCCACCCATAGGTGCTGAAGATGCGAAATCATACGGCTACCCCAAAATCCCACGCTTATCATTTGGGGAAAATCAACGAAAAATAGTCATTTCAGTCGCTAAAGGCAATTCCAAACCTTCCCAAGGTGACTCTATGTGTCAACCCCGGATTAATAACCACCCCGCAGCTGCCTCATTGGGGGCTTTGTTTCTTTTACCTAGCAACTTTTTTTGAGGGTAATCTTCTCAAGCGGGTTTGGATAATGCCGAACAAGATGGAAGAACCTTTCCTTACTAAGATTTATGGCAACTTACTCTTCCATCTGGGATCAATGTCTAAAGTTTGATTGAAATATGTTTATTATTGTGGCAAAACCAAAGACACCATCCTCTGTGAGTTACCAGATGTTACCAGAAATGGGTGGGCTGCTAGACCATCCGCAATGGGAGATTTGTTGGGTTTCCGGCATTCTCCCGTTTTGTTGGTGCTGATGAAACATATTGATAATATTTACCATCTTGTTATTTAACATAGCCATGGAAAATCACCATTTTTAATAGGTAAACCGGTAAACCATCTATAAATGGGTCATTTCCCATGGCTATGTTAAATAACCAGAGGGTACGGGTACGGGTAACGGGTATGGCTCAAAATGAATTCCCCCGGAACTTTTGGGATGAAATACGACCTTTAGGTGCCCACAAGTGTCGCCATGGTGCCCAGAAAATTTTCACGGAGTGCTTTGGAAATCCATGGTTGTTTCCCATGTGTATATATATATATTATTATTATTATTATTATTCATGTGAATTTATTGGGAAATACCCATGGATGCAAATTTCTTGAGGTCAAACACCAGAAAGCTTGCCAAGCAAAGGCTGGCCGGACCGGTACTTGGATCTGATACTTTGCTGCGCATGGAAGCAGCAGAAAAAACCACGTCGTCCGCATCACTGCATGGCGTCGTGTAGATCGGCCATCAGGAGCCGGGAAATATTTGGAGGATCATCCCAGGGATCCAAAAAACTGGTTGGGATCCGTGGGGCTATAGCCAGTTATACATGGGATATCCTTAGGGGACTTACTAACCAGGGTTACTAACCAGTTACGAACTGGGATGATCCTCCAAGTAGAGGTATGGTTCACGGCATTGGTTCAAAACTGGGGAACCCCGAAAACCACGCTTCGGAACAATTCAGTTTCTTCATTAAAAGGCAGTTTGGGTACTGGTACTCCCCCATTTCATGAAAACAACATGGTATTGTGACTCTGGAAATGTGAAAATGTTGCCCCGGACAACAAACAGCTGCCAGTGGACCCAATGGTTTAAATTTCATTGACCCCGATTTGGGGTTGAAGATTTAAAATGGTTCGGTCCACACTTGGACACTGATAATTACCGACGTTTATCCTGTTTGATCATGTCCCTAGGTTCCAATCTTCCCATTTTAACTGGTTTTCTTCCATGGGGTCAAATCTTCAAGCTGAACCCAGAATTGGGCCAAGGTGATGAAGCATGGAATGGGGTAAAAACATCTGTGCCGATGCTTATCTATACCATTTTGAAGATGGCATTTGGTTTTGAGCCATGCCGAGCTGACGTCGGCTGCTGCCAAAAACAGGTCAGACGCTACGGGCCGCAGTTGGTACCAATATCAGGCTACACCACACTTTGAGATTGAACTGCTCCAAAACATTAAGTTAGTTGGGCCTGAAAAACATTGGCCCACACGAACCCATCAATTTGCGTATGCAACTAGACAGTTTCCGACACAAAAATCGCCCAAACAGAAATCTACCCTCTGGTAAACTAACATAACTATGGAAAATCACCATTTTCAATGGGTAAATCCACTATAAATTGTCATTTTCAATTGCTATGTTAAATTACCAGAGGGTATTGTTCGGATTCTCCTTGGGTTCAACTCTTGGCGCCCTCTGCGCCTGCATTTTTTGGCCTGGAAGGCCATAACCTCTCAACACAGGACAGCTTCCCCCTCAGCCAGAAAACACTTATTTTCTGGGTGCCAATGATCAGAATTATCCATGCATACATAATAACCTTATGTGTGCATAAATTTATATATGTATATATATATATATAATATATATATATATGCACATAATTTCACATATATAGTATAACGTAATAAAACAAAATATATCATAATATAATTTAACATGAAATCATCTCATGTCATATCAAATAATTATCATATCATTTTTGCAAAATTAGATGGTATCAAAGCACATTGTAAAATATAATGAAAACAAAATATTATATTATGCTATATTAAACTATACTAAATTATATTTCATTAGATTTAAAACAATTCGCAATTAAGAAATATGATGCAAAAATATATATTGTTAAAAAAAACTGAAAACACATTAAACAAAGAATAATACTATATCTTAAATTAAAATCTAATGTTGTAAAATAGACCTAAAATACAATATAATCAAATACAGTATAGTACAATATATGAAAAATATACTGTATAAAATACACTATCAAATAGTATCCTACCACACTATTTAATATGATATCATAAAACATCATACAAACTAAAAAAAAACATACTTTCTAGTAAAATAACATATCAGAACATACCATATCATACCATGTAATACCAAATGATAAAATATCATTCCAAACAAAGCTTCAACAAGTAGAAAAGAATAGAATATGAAAAAAAAACATTATTTTTATAATATGATAGAATAGAACAGAACAGAAAAGAATAGAACAGAATAGAATTTAGTAAAATAGAATAGCATAGAATACATACAATAGAACACACAGATTAGAATAGAATAGTACAGAATAGAATAGAACAGAATAGAACAGAATAGATGAGAATAGAATAGAATAGAGCAGAATAGTACAGAACAGAATAGAACAGAATAGAACAGAATAGACTAGAATAGAATAGATTAGAGCAGAATAGAACAGAATAGAATAGAACAGAATAGAACAGGATAGACTAGAATAGAGTAGGGTAGAACAGAACAGAACAGAATAGAATAGAATAGAATTTCATGTCATATCATATTTATTCTGTCATAAAACATAGTATCATATCAAAGAATAATGTTGACCTACGATTTTGAAACCCACCCTGAATAAAGCTAACCAAACTCCCAAAATAAAAAATAAAAACCCCTAAATAAAGCTAAACTTTTTTGGCCCTGTTTCTTTTTGGCTTATCCTATTATATGTTGCTCTTTCTATTCAAAACCTTTATTCAAAAATGATAGCTGGACATTTTCAAAAATGATGGATGCTCTTTCTATTCAAAACCGTTTTTCAAAATTATCCAAAATCAAGTCCAAATCATCAAGGGTACCCCCCATGAGGTGCCTTGGCACCAGTTAGAGTTTGACCCTGAATAAAGGTACTGAGCTTCCGCTCCCGCTGATCAAGAAATGAATACTAAATCAATACTAAATCAATGAATACTAAATCAATACTAAATCCATGAAATGAATACTAAATCAATACTAAAACAATTGTTGGATTCCTTTTTTCCCCACCTGCCAGGTGAGGGTTGTTAGATTTTATCAGAGTTGTTCTTCTCCTCCTCCTTCTTCTCCTCCTCCTCGTTCTCCTCCACCACCTCTGCCTCCACTTCCATGTTCACTTCCGCCTTGCCAACTCTTTGCCAAGCTCTTCGCCAACTTCCGCACGCAGTGGGCACTGCTGGACCTCAACTGCCGGCTTCCGCTCTGAGTGGGCACGGCTGGACCTCAACCGCAAGCGTCTGAGCGCAGTGGGCACCGCTGGACCTCAACCTGGGACCTCCAGAGCTCAGTGGGCACCGCTGGACCTCAACCTGGGACCGTCCGAGCTCAGTGAGCACCGCTGGACCTCAACCTGGGACCCTCCGAGCTCAGTGAGCACCGCTGGACCTCGACGGCCAGATAGAATGCCAGAAGATATGCCAGATAGAACGCCAGATAGCATGTCAGAAAAATGCCAGAAGATATGCCAGATAAAGTGCCAGAATGTTTGCCAGATAGAATAACAGAAGATATGCCAGATAGAAGCCAGAAGGTATGCCAGATAGAATGTCAGATAGAATGCCAGAAGGTATGCCAGATAAAGTGCCAGAATGTTTGCCAGATAGAACGCCAGAAGATTTGCCAGATAGAATGTCAGAAGATATGCCAGAAGATATGCCAGATAGAGTGCCAGAAGATATGCCAGAACATATGCCAGAAGATATGCCAGATAAAATGCCAGAAGATATGCCAGATAGAATGCCAGAAGGTATGCCAGATAGAATGTCAGATAGAATGCCAGAAGGTATGCCCAGATAAGGTGCCAGAATGTTTGCCAGATAGAACGCCAGAAGATTTGCCAGATAGAATGCCAGAAGATATGCCAGATAGAGTGCCAGAAGGTATGCCAGAACATATCGCAGAAGATATGCCAGATAGAATGCCAGAAGATATGCCAGATAAAATGCCAGAAGATATGTCAGATAGAATGCCAGGAGATTTTCCAGTAACAAAACGTATAGATGTCATGGTGGGGATAACTCGAAGTAAAGTATTTTTTGGAAATTGCATTTTATATTATCGCTTTAAATTGTAGTA